ACTGTGTGCCACACGGCGCCCCGGAAGCGAATCGAGGCGATGTGGCGCCGCCCCCTTCTCTCTCTCCACCCGCCGAGATTCTATTTAATGGTTGCGCATCGGAGCGGCATCTTCACTTAATACACATCACCATCCAAACTGTCTGGTTCACTGATTCGAACACACAAAATGGTTTTCACTGTTATTGCTCTTGTTGTGTCGGCCATCTTGATTCCAGGTGATTACCGTAGCCCATCACTTTCTTTTTTCTAACTTACTTATTTTTAGAAGCTTTGGCGGATCCTTGCGGTGATTCCAACTGGAGATACTTCCCTCAAACCAACTCCTGCTACAAACTCATTGAGTAAGTCACTACAGTAACCCAAAATAAGGACTCATTTATTTTTTTTTCAGTGAAAATCTTCCATGGACAATTGCTGAATTCAAGTGTCTTTTCCAAGGTGCTCACCATGTCTCTATTGACAGTCCTGAAGAGAATCAATTCGTTCACGAGTTGTCTCATTGGTCCGAGATCTGGACAGGAGCCGCTTTCTTCGGAAAAGACATGCACTACGTGAATTCGGATGGTTCTCGTTACGGAAACTTCGAGAACTGGAAGGACGGAAGAAAGCCACCAATGAACCGTGCTCGTCGTTGTATCAAGATGGATCAAAACGGAGAATGGTTCCAATCTTGCTGCAAGAAGAAGACCTACACCATTTGCGAGAAGGTACAGTAACCCAAACTAGATGTGCAAAATCTAATTGATTCATTTTCAGAAGGCCGCCTACTCAGCCAGCTCTTACTCTGGATCGAACAACTCTGTGAATGGATTCCGTTTCATGCGTCATCGCTCTTAAGAACTCTCCCAAATGACAATTTCGAGCGTCTCGAAAAGGAATGATTGATAAATCATCTGAATGATACTCATTTGCTAAGCTTTTAGATGCTTTTGCTGTTTTGCCTGCCCGCTTACGTGTACAATGTTCATAATGTTGTAATTTTCCCTGTCTTCTTCTTCTTCAAGAATGAATATAAAACCCATATTTGAATGTTTCAGTGGTTTTATTTGTTGTGTCCCAAAGAAAGGAGTGTGATGGGAGGAAGAATAAGGGAAAAGTGATCCCTTATATTCTTCCCCTTTTTTTCCAATGTCATTCTATCTGTCCATTCACTACTCAGTTTCGTTTCCTTCCCAAATCACACACAATCAGCACAAGAAAATGATGATTTCCGGCGATTTCTGCTACGAAGACCGCGCGAGGATCCGCCTTTATCGTTTTTGCCTCTCTTTTTTTCCCCAATTTTTCCTGCTGATTGTCGTGATGAACAGTTTCGGAGATGGGATTTTTGATTGATGAAGTTTGACTGTGGTTTTGTGGAAAGCAACGTGTGTATCTCTGTAGATTGACATCCCACATTTTGAAGAACGCCCTTGAAAAAGTTTGCTGAGAGTCAAACTGTTGATACTTCGAGGGACACATTTTGCAATTACAGTATACTAATTCCGTTTTTATATCTTCTTTTTCATTTCATGAAATAGTTGCAAATGAACGAAAAATTGATAAGTTGTTTGGTTTCGATTCTATCAGTTCATTTCCGTTCTGATACTGCAAAACGAAATCACAAATTGAACAGTTGGTTCTCGAGAGTTGGCCACAATCAAACGAATATCAAACCAATCAGTGATATGAAGAAAAAACTGGTTTCCAATATTTGTGGTCTGTTCATCAGTGAAGAAAGTACACTGGATAATGATACTTACTTTTATGTGCTGATAACGAAGATAAATGACATTCAGAAACCCGCGTAGTATCATCCAAGAGGAGAAATCGAATCTCAATGACGACTTATTTGATGGGTATATTTTTTATTGAAACATCTGAGGAAATCCCACACAATCGTCATGGCAGGAATATTTCTAGGCAAATAAAAACTTCATAAGAATATCAGTTTTGTATGAGAAACGGAAATATGACAGTTATCTCTTGATGCTGGTCTTATATCCAGATAAATCATTCTCCGTTACATTTAGTCGCACCAACTGCGATTGATTCCTTTTTAGTCGTTCTTCAAATGATATTTATCAAGAGTCAGATAACTGGGAAAAAAACTGATGATATGTACATCTTCACAGTTTTTTTCTCTGCGAATAATATAGAATGAAATGGTTTGAAAAAAAGAAGCGCTTGTTTTATTGGGTCTTTTGAAAATAGTTATATTATAGTGGTACGAAAAAATCGGAGCTGTCGAAGAGAAAAGTCGGTGACCAGGGCCGAAGGTCTTAAAGCGACAGGTACCGTAATCTGAAAATATTTTCATTTTCCGTGTTTTTTTAGAAATTCAGAAAAGTCCAGAATTTTCGAAAATGCCAGATTAAAGGAAGATTCTGAAAAAAAGGTTATTTAAAGCAAACTGAAAATTTAGAAATTCAAAAAACAAATTTAAAACCTCGAAAATCGCTTCGAAAAATTAGCGATTTTTGCGATTTTTCGAGAGAAAAGAGTGTTTTTCTTTGATTTTGTGCAAAATTTCTAGACCTTTTTTGGTTTTTCAGCTACCGTAAAACCTCTAATAGAACGACACCCGGATCGTCCACTTTGAGC